TTACAGACGCCAAGCCCACCCATGCGGACAGGCAGAGTAGCTTGTGCCCAAGCTCGGTCATCAAGAGCCACATTCAAAATTAAGGAGAAAGTTCGCCTAATGATGTGGTCAATTTTTTCTAAAAAAAGGGGTGCAGACCAGAGTTGGGTCGAGCGCAAATAGTACATAAATTTGGGACCGAAGCAACAAAATCGAATAATACTATAAGTCGAATGCATTCTAATGTGATATAGTTTTTCTGAAACGACAGAAATATTTTGAATTTTTTCTTCAATAAAACTTGGAAAAAAGTCCTCGAAGACGGGCGCGCCTAGGAGGCGAAGTGAACATTTATCAACAACCGAGATATTAGGCGCAAAAGTATTAAATTTTGACATGATCCGTCTGTTGGTAGAGTCATCTAAAAATATCTCACACTTGGAAAAATTTAGGTCAAGGCCAATAGCATGAAATTCGTTTGTTGAAAATATGAAATCATTTAATACTGTATCCGCATCGCCTCCCAGGGTACCGTCATCGAGGTACCAAACATTAAATTTGGAATTTAGCTGTCGAATAATAGGATTAATAGCCAGGCTAAAAATTACTGGTCCAAGGGGATCGCCTTGTTGACAGCAAACGGCTGATTCCAAAAGGTTGTCCTGATATAATAATTTAGTAGGGTGTCTATAACATTGCCAGAGAAAACTGAAAATTTGGGGTACTTCTTTTTTAACTTCTGTCAACAAAGTATCCCTATTGACCGAATTAAAGGCATTCTTAATGTCCACCTTCAGGATGATATCACCTTTCCTGGAATTCAGGTAGGTCGACAACGCATGCACGGCAGCCTCGCAACCCCCTCTCGATCCATACCCGAGTTGAAGGGGCTGGAATTTTTCCGAAAGGTTATTATAAAATTTGCAACAAATCTTGGCAGCCATGCGACGATTTTTTCTTTTTTATTTTTTTTTATGCCATGCGACAATAAGTTGTTCCCACAGCAATGGGACGAATACCGCCATCCTTCTTGCGAAGGGCACATAAGTTGGCCCCGTACAAAACGTCGATGACGGATTCGTGCACATTGCCGGAGAGCATAAGATTGATCAAAACCGTAAGCTCCTTCAGCAGCGTCACGCCAGACTCCCCGGCGCTTGAGCTCGTTAGATCTTTTAGATGCTGCGGCGTCAAACCGTCGAGGCCTCCGGCAAAACCGCTCCGAAAGTAGCCTATGGCAGTGACCACTTGTCGACCTGTAACAGATAGGGTATGAATATCTGCTTCTGGGGGATCCGGAAAAGAGAGCCAATCTACTGGGGCCGGGTGTTTGCTCTCCAGAGCTTTAAGCGTATCTGGAGAACATGGGGCCAGTACGTCATTGCTGAAAATAATTCTGGCTGCACCGCTAATATCACCTTCGCCTATTTTGACCTCAACTAAATCCGCTAAAGTTTTGGTTGAGGCATAGCTGCAAGCCGGTAATTTTGGGTCGAATTGGAAGCCGAAATGCAATTTTCTTTAATTTGTTTGGTTAAAGAATTTTGAAGAGCCAAATTCTTTTTAACATGATTGTAAGATTTGGTAAGGGAAGGTGACAAGTTGTTCTTAGGCGCGTAACGAGTTCTCCTGTGTTGCCAGACGGACATAATTTGCTAACTGTTGCGCAACTAAAGGTCTGGCACCACGGGGAACACGTTTAAGTACAGGGATAGATTTTTAAATTTTGATAAAATTTTCCAAAAGGGGTCTGTCAAAATAAGAGGAGTAGTGTCCATAACGGGGCTGAATGTAGTTACTTTGGGATTTGTGAACACGTCCAATGTGTATGTACATTCAGCCCTCGCTTACATTTAAAATAGCGAGCTTGGGAACATAGCGGGCATCTTTCCAAAGAATGCTGCGACGCCGAAGGGTGACTACCGAATACACTGCAGTCCGCACTCGCAGTTGTGCCTGAGATAGACCAAAAAAAAAAGAAAAAACACTTAATATACTAAATAAGAAATAAATACAGTGAAACCTGGTTAAGTGAGACATCAAGGGACCTGCAATGTCGTTTCACTTCTATAACTGTAATAAGTAAGTGGAATACCTCTATAGGTATTCCACTTACCCAGTATCTCAGATATACAGGTATTAATAAATATCTGTCTCATTTACAGAGGGTTTCATTAATAGAGATGGACTTGGAATTACGTGTGGAATTTGTGGGTAGAAAAAAAATGAGTAAACAAACAATATTATCTCAGTTACAGAGGTTTATGCATATAAAATTCACTCGCTGTCTCAGTTAAAGAGGTAACTATGATGATAAATCGAAAGAACAAATCCCAGATATAGAGGTTTACCTCGTCCCACTAACACAGGTAATTCAGTGCCAAAGTGTTGGGACCTCAGCATAAGTTCCAGTTATTGAGGTTTCTCACTTATCCAGGTCCCACTTAACCAAGTTTCACTGTATCAGATTATTTAAATATAAAATAATAAAAGTAAATAAAATAAAATAAAAATGTACTGCCAAAACCAAAATCACGGTAGCGATGAGGAAAATGTTTTCTTTGATGCCTTATGATATATTTTTATAATTATTTTTTTTGAGATATAAATATTTTAGTTTTAAATTACATTTAATTATATGTCGGAGCCGGTCATGAGTACGGACTCTAAATGGAACGCAAGCTCGCCACCTAGCGGATTTCCGGTGCACTTAGGCGGAGTCGTGGCGTCAGAGTCGCACTCGACGGAGCTCACTTCAGTTCGAGTCGCCACTGAGTGAAGATATTGTCACGGAACTGTCCTACGTTTTGCTTAGTGCCCAGTACCTTGTGATTATAAGAAACTCAGAAATTAATTCTGAGCGCTCTTCCTGTTTACACGATACTCATATTCGCCCACATTATGTCTGAGCAACCGAAACATAATCATGCCTCCTCCGACGTCAGGAAAAGACAAAGTTTTATTTCAATTTCACATTCAAACTGAACGAAATCTACCCATTCTTTCCTTTCTTAAGCACCTCTTAATTCGGTCAATTTATGCTCTATCTAATGGTCGCGAGGGTGAAGTTGTGGGGTAGTTCTGATTAAAGTGTATTACCACTTATTTGTTATAGTTTTTCTTTGTTGTCTTTTAAGTATATTATTATTGTATTGTATTATATAAGTATCTGTATTTTTTTTGTATTTGTGTGCATGTCAACTGTCGAATAAATGCTTTTTCTTTCTTCTGTTTTAAATTAATCTACCAGACAGATATTAAAACAGAAATTAGGAGACTACCCTATTGTTCTTCTTTATTCATTAATGCCTGTCTTTCATACTTCGTCAGATACAGTATACATGCATCCTTTTTACTTGTACTCTTACTTTACTTTTGCTCGTTCAAAGATATTTATTTTACTGACCTGTACTGCAAAAGGATATTTTTTTATCGTAGTAGGTTCGCCTTGTAATAAGTCGTACTCTTCATCTGCATGACCTACTAAATTAATGAGAAAATATACATAACTAAGTCTATTTATTCAAAACTACCTGTAGTCGAAGTTACAAATGTGGGTAGCTTAGACTACATGCAACTTAAAATTTTCTCTGTTTCTGAACGTAGTTACTCTCTCTTTTTTTAACCAAAACTGGGAAATTTTCTTGCAACCTCACCACCTGGTGAGGTTGCAAGAAAATTTCACGATTTTTAAGGTAAAGAAAAATAAAACTAATAGATGTCTACTGACTAAAAACCACCCCGACGTCCCCTCTGACTAGCGTGCACGAGGGTATACGGGGACATTCTCCCACATCCTCACACTCGTTGTCGCCAACCAGCACTTGACGACTAAACAGTAGCGTCGACAGCTTGGGCTCGCTGCCATTGCAGCGGTAAGTTCCCTCTTTGAGAGTGGCTTGAGAGACGCTAAGGCGTCCTCACCTACCACCTGACGCAGGTCCTTACCAGACATGGGAGCTTCGGGGCTACACAGGGACGTGATTGGCGACCTCTCGCATCCGGCCCTAGTGCGGGTCATGGTGTGGAGCGAGGGAGACTGGGATGCCGTCTCCTCCTTTTGCGCAGCAGTCATGCTATCTAAGAGGAGACGGGGCGCATGAGGCAGCGAAGCGCTGCCTCCTCACAACCCAGCCGTCGCGAAGGATATTCTGGGCGTCGGGGATTGCGAGACGATCTCCGGCCACCGTAAGCGCGTGCCTGCGGACGGCGAGCATGGGTGGATCGCCGTCCGACCAGAACAAGACCAAAAAAATCAAAAAATAACTATTATTAGTACTGATATGTTACGCACCTACTGATAGGCTAGAAGTCGGTGTCAAGATCCCGCATAATCCGAGCAGAAACGAGCTCCTAAATCTTTGACTCCCACAACCAAACAAACAGGCACTCTTAAGAACTTAGGAAACAAGAGATAAATCAAATGACACTTACAGCTAACAACCGCAACAAACAATAAAATTCGACACCACATGTTTCGGAAAAACATTTCTTAGCCGTAGCTAAGTTTGTTATTCCGTACCTAATGATTATTAATTTGCGTACAATCTATGTGGCTACGGTCAGGTCGTTGAATCTAGTAGGTGTGGCGACACATGTCACATATCAACGGGTGACGTCACAAGAATCCTACATCGCACATGCAAAGTTTACAAGCGAATAAATACGAACAGAAAATCCCAACGAACAACTGGTGGATTCGCCGCGCAGCCAAGGAGGAAGGAGTAACTACCCTCACCGCTCGGACCGCAAATCGAAGATCGAAGACTACCCGACAAAAGCTCGGACGCGGACGGCTCGCCCACACCTGCGCGCGCTCGATCGTTGCCCCGGTAACGCGTGGCCCTCCGTCGTGTCCGGTGCCCGGTCAGCCACCAGCGGCTAGCCCCGGGTACCGGCTCGGCGGGTCCCCCGCGCGGGGTACCGACCGACGCGTCGCCACAGCGCCGCCACGACCCCCCCTCCCCCGCAACAATCTCTAACGCGCCTTTGGCGCTCGTGCGCACCACCCCGCACCCACCATGCCTCACGGTGGCCGTGAGCCGCCAGCATCACCGCGCTCCTCCAAGCCCAGCAAGGGCAAGGGGCGCATCTTCAAGAACTCGAAGCTGCAGCCTTCGGAGATCAGGGCGCTGCAGGCCGTCGCGCGCCAGTACAACGCAGCGGCCTCACCAACCTCAACCCCGACCGGAGGCACCATTGGAGCAGGGGAGGAATTTTTCCCCCCGCCCCCCTCGATACCCGACACCCCGGCGTCACCCTCACCGCCACCGCGCGCAACCCGTCCAAACTGGTCCGCGCCGCCGGTGGTCAACATGCCGGAGCCAATGGACGTGGTGGCCCCACACCTAAACACCACCGACCGGGACGCGGGTAGCTCACACCCGACCACCGCCATACCGGACGCAGGCACTACGCACCCTCCGTCCGCGATCCCGCGACCGACCCCACGGCCGCAGAAGAACACGGCGCAGTCGCAGCCGGCCACTGCCGCGACCGCCGCCCCCCGCGACCCCACCACCACCCCTGTGACACCCGAAACTAGGCCACCGGCGGGCACGCAACACGCCTCGGCCCCACCCCGCCAGCAACGACCGAAGAAGCCCCAACAGGGACCAACGACCGCACGCGCCGCGCCCTTAAGCGCTGCACCCACACGCGCCGCGGCCCCAAGTGCTGCGCCCTCGCGCACCGCGACTGGAGCTCCCGCACCCCTGTTTAACACCACGCCGGGACACTTCCCCTCCCCTACAAGGGAGCCGGCGGACAAGCGGCAGGCCGTCTTCATCACGCCGCCCTTCCGCCCGCCCCCCATCCTGCCACCATTCACCGCGCCGCCCCAGCATGACACTGCGCCCCCGCCGACCTACGCGGCCGCCGCTGCACCTAACCCCGCTGGCACACGCGCCCCCGCCTCAGCGGCGGGCCACACCGCCACACCAACCACAACGAACGCCGCCACCAACAACACCAGCGCCCCCGCGCCCGGACCACAGAGCGCCCCCGCCCCGAAAACACGATACCCGCCCCTCATCGTGGAGAAGCTCCCCAACTGGGTTGAGCACTTCGCGGCGCTGAGGAGGCGGATGGGCCACGCGCCCAACGCCCGCCCTTTTGGCCAAGGCGTGCGCTTCACACCCCGCTCCGACGAAGAATACAGAGCGATCCAGGCGTACCTAGCCGACCTGGAGAGGACCCAGGGAGTCGCCTGGTTCTCATACTCCCTCCCGGCGGAGCGGAGCCTAAAGGTGGCCATCAGAGGGTTGCCTGTGGACACCCCACCGGAAGCGATACAGGAGGCCCTGCGGGATGCCGGCTATAAGGCAGAATACGTCCGCCCAATCCGTGCGCGCCAGGGACGACCGGGGTGCCTGTATTACGCCCAGATTGCGCGCACGGAAAACACCACCCCGGGCATCTACGCAGTGACGGAGTTGCTCTGCATGCCCGGGATCAAAATCGAGGCATGGCGGGGCAAGAAAGGCCCCGCGCAATGCCACCGCTGCCAACAATTCCGGCACTCGTCGCACAACTGCCACCGGCCTATGGCATGCGTGCGGTGCGGCGAGTCACACCCAGCCAGCGAGTGCCCCCGCCCGAGAGAAGAGCCGCCGACGTGCGCGAACTGCGGCGGAGCGCACACGGCGAACAACACGTCGTGCCCGGTGTTCCGCCGCGAAACGCGCAACCCCAGGGCGGGCACGTTGGCGCGCACCACCACCACCACCACCACCACAGCAAACAAGCCAGCCGCAACACAGCCAGAGGGCGAACCAAACGCCCCTGGCACCCTAATGGCCGCGGCAAATGAGCCGGGCGCTAAACGCCGTGCAAGGCGAAGGCGCAGGAAGATAAAGAAGCCCGCAAATGCCGCCCCTGCCCCCGCCCCCACTACCGCCCCCGCCGTCGCCCGCGCCGCTGCTAAAGCAAAGGCGCCCCCTGCCCCCGCGACCAAGGCGCCCGTCACCGCCGCGACTAAGGCAAACCGACCGGCAGCGCCAACCGCGCAAAAAGCACCCTCACCCCCGCCGATCACCATCAACACCGTCGTCCGCATCCTGCAGGGGATTGTGACGGCGCTCATTCAAGAGCGGAGCGATCCAGTGCCGCTGCTCCTAGACGCGATCAAGTCCCTGATCTGCGATGGACCACCGGCACCTTAAGATCATTCACTGGAACGCCAATGGGATGTCCCCCGAGAAGACCAGGCTATTGAAGCTGCTGCTAGACCAGCGACAAGCTGATATAGCCCTGATCAACGAGACACACCTTAGACCGGTAGACAATCTGAAGATGGCTGGCTTCCACATCTACCGGGAGGATCACATCTCGCCGTCAGGGATTGCCTACAGGGGACTGGCAATCCTGGTCAGGAGAAAAGTCGTCCACCAGCTACTACCAGTGCCAACGCTGCGCGCGTCCTACGCGCTGGGCGTGGAGATCTGCATCGACCATCAGCCGACCCGGGTGTTCGCGTTCTACAGACCGCCGCACTACCGCCTCGCAGTGGCTGACGTCCACACCCTGCTGGACTCGCCACTGCCAACCATCATCGCCGGTGACTTCAACCTGAAGCACACGGCGTGGAACGCGAACGCCAACACACGTGAAGGCAGCCGCCTGCTCGACGATGCAGAGCTCCACAACTACGTCGTGCTCGGGCCGGAAGCCCCGACGCACTACCCGCACGACCGGCAACTCACGCCCGACGTCATCGACCTGGCCGTCCTACGCGGCATCTCCGCGACGGTCAGCTGCGACGTCCTGGACGACCATCTCCGGTCAGACCACCAGCCAGTGAGTCTGACTATCGAGGACATCCCACAGCACCTGCGACCTCTTCCCCCTCGCCCACGGCGGGACTGGCGCGCATTCGCCGCCCACATGGCGCAAAACTCGCCGTCATATCGGATCGACACGCCCGCCGACGTCGACCGACTCGCCGCCGACTTCACCGCGGCCGCCCAGACCGCACTAGCCGAGTCCCAGATGGCAAACGTGTCGTCACCGAGGAGGCCATCACCCCTCCCAGCCGCCATACTCGCCATGGTCGAGAGGAAGAGGAGACTCCGCAGGCAATGGCAAAGGACCCGATGCCCGACAATGAAGAGCTCGCTCAACGCTCTGGCCGCCAGAATCTCGTCCGCCGTGGCAAACCACACGGCCGAATCCTGGCAACGCGCCATCGAGCACGTGAGCGACGACTGGTCGGGCATACACAGATTGTGCCGCAGCCTCTCCGGGAAGCCAGCTCCGATAAGACCCCTCCTGGCCGGCGACGGTACACCCCGCTACCGAGCCGAGGACCGAGCGGAGCTCTTCGCTGACTCCCTGGAGAGCCAGTTCCAGCCCAACCCGGCCCGCAACGTGCAACACACAGCAGCTATCGAACTTCAGGTAGCACAGTACCTGGAGCAGCCGATCTCCCCGGAAGAGGACCCAATCGTGCTCTCCCCTGGCATGGTGCGGCGTATGGCTCTGCGAGCCCCACTACGCAAGGCACCCGGTCCGGACGGAGTACCCAACGAAGCCCTCCGCCGCCTGCCGCCACGAGGAATCGCGACGTTGACGCGGCTATTCAACGGCATCCTCCGCACCGGACACTTCCCTGCCAAGTGGAAGCTCGGCAGAGTAATCATGCTGCCCAAACAGGGGAAGAACACACTGCTGCCGGGGAGCTATCGCCCCATCACGCTCCTGGACACTGTCTCGAAGCTCTTCGAGAAGCTGCTGCTGTTGCACCTGCGCCCACACCTCCAGCCACGCGGCGAACAGTTCGGCTTCAGGGCGGAACACTCCACCACCCTGCAAGTGGCGAGGGTACTGCACGACCTGGCGGCCGCGCGCAACAAGCGCGAGCGCGCCGCGGCAGTATTCCTCGACATGGAGAAGGCGTTCGACCGCGTCTGGCACGCCGGCCTGCTCAGCAAGCTGGCCACATCTACTACTCCTCGACGACTAGTTAAGATCGTGGCCACCTTCCTGCACGGCAGAACCTTCCAAGTGGCAGTGGAAGGCACTCTGTCGACCGAGCGGAACATCCGTGCCGGCGTGCCCCAGGGAAGCTGCATCTCACCTGTGTGCTACTGCGTGTACACGGACGACATCCCCGTCGCGAGCGGCGTCAAACTAGCGCTGTACGCCGACGACGCCGCCTACTACACGACATCAATGAACCCGAGGCACGCAGTAGTTAAACTACAGCGCGCCCTAGATGCACTCCCTGAATGGCTGGAGAAGTGGAGACTGGCTGTGAACGTGGCCAAGACTCAAGCGCTCGCCGTGGGGATCATGAAGCCGACACCCATGACACTCATGGGAGAGCAGGTCCGGTGGGCGCCGAGCGTTAAATACCTCGGCGTGACCATCGACCGCTCGCTCTCAATGACGCCCCACGTGCAGCAGGCTGTTGCTCAGGCGCGCGCCGCGCGTTGCCTCTTGCGCCCGGTGATCGACTCGGCGCTGCCTCTCCGTGCGAAGCTCGGTATCTACAAGGCCTACATTCGGACACGGCTCACCTACGCCGCCCCGGCATGGTACGCGCTCGTGTCCGAAACCAACAAGAAACGCCTCCGTGCGCAGCAGTCACTGTCGCTGCGCACCATCGTACAGGCCCCGCGCTTCGTACGGAACGCGACAATCGCCCGAGACCTCGGCGTAGAGAGCGTCGACGCATTCGTGCAGCGCCTGAGCACCACACTCTTCGAGCGCTCCGATCGGTCGCGGCACGACCACCTCCGGGAGCTGGCGCCCTACCACCGGCGCCCCCCCGACGGCTTCGGCCTCCCAAGAGACCTGGTCGCGCTGACCGACCCATCGGACACCGCGTGAGACTCCCGCCCGCCCGCTGGCGGGTCGGTAGAGTCTCCGCCCCCACCGGACACGACCGCGCGCCGCTACCAACCCGCCGCTCGCCGGGCTCCCCCCGGCTCGAGCGCGGCCTCTAGCGGCGCCCCCACTGGACACGACCATGCCCCGCCAACAGCCTGCGGCTCGCCGGGCTTGCCCGGCTAGAGCGCGGCCCATGGCGGGGCAAACCACCGGACTCGACACCGCATCGGGCCCCGCAAGGAGCCCGACTAACCCAACCCCTCGCCTGCTGTAGCAGGCAGCGAGCGCATCCGCCGAGACAGGCATCGGCCTGGAACGCGCGACCTCGCGCCCCCTGCCGGGGACGCAGAGAAGACTCGACGGTGAACAACTGGTGGGCAGAAAGCCCGCCAGGCACGATCACCTCGCCTGGTCGGAGGATCCTCCTTTTCCGATCTTAGGGAACTATACTCTCTGTTCCCTAAATAGGTAACCAACAATCCAAATTCATTTTTTAATGTATTTCTTAATGTAGGTACAGATTTTATTATCTATGCTTATAAATAAATATTTAAGCATAGATAATAAAATCTGTATATATAAATAAATAAATACATTATAATTTTTTATTTACTTAAGTATATGTCGGCGCCCGCGCGAAACTGTAAACAACACGTGCACCAATCACGCCACCGAGCGCGTCATTTGATGCCCCCACTCTCCCCACTACTAGCTTTGCCGGTATAAAAGACGTACAACGATCATTTTAAAGGCAGTCTTGGCTCTGGCGTGGCTCGATGCACTAGTTGTACCTCGCTTGCTTAACCTAGACGCTCTGGATAATTAATTTGTGGAATCGAATTAATTATTATTCCGGTGTTATAATTTGGTCCCTAGACTAATTATACCCGGGTATTATTTAAGGCTATTGTTGGATTTATAACATTGTTTAGTTTAAATTAGTTTAATGATTAATTAACCTGTGATTGCTGTTTCTCCGTATTTGGTTGAATAAACTATTATCAAGGAACTTCATTCTTTTTTAACTATGGCCGATCCTCTTCCTACATATACTTATAATTAATGTTAAGGCACTAGGAGATGGAAGTCAAATTAAGTCAAATTTATTTGTTTACTTACCATTACAAAATAAAATAAAATAATAAAATAATAATTGTGCAATATTCATTAATACGATTACCAATATTGATTTAGTAACAATGAGTTTTCTTTTTTTATGATTAAAAATTAAATGAAACAAAAAAAAAATAAAAATATTGATATACGTATTTGTTAGTCTGATCACGTTAATTCTACAACTACTAATAAGTTTCCATGACGTATGCTATCCCTATAAATGAGTCTTCAGTCAGTCATTCTTTTCTCCTCTGTTCCCTGTATAATTCGTTAAGATGTGTTCATCTTAACAACATATTAAACAAATTGTACTTTAAGTAGTATATTTTAACTTTTGTGCCGTAAGTTATACGACACCCTTTGCGACAGTTAATTTTACTTAAGGGCTCGTACACAAAAGAGATGCGAATTCGCAACGCAGAAAATTACCACACGAATCGTTGCGATGCGATTTCGTACGACAAGGCGTTTCCCCAGGGTGATTCCATTCCTTCGACGACCGTCAACCGTATGTGACTGTCCGTCAGGTACCCCTAGAAATACTCGTATAAACAAAAGGCATCCCAATGTTTTAGAGTACCGACTTTCCAATGAACCACGTGTTAGGCCTTTAATTTTATATTTTATGGGAGCCCGTCTAGAAATAACTAATGGGCAATTGAGTTGTAACTTGTTAAATGATCTTTAAGAATAACGTGGAGCCGTTGGGTGCTCAACACAATAGCAAACGCCACATCTGGTTGAAATAATACTGACCTGCAAAAGATCTCAAGAAACAATTCAGATATTGCACAAAACCCGGACTGCAGGGGCCTGGAAAAGGGCCTTTGGTGAGGAGATATCACAAATGTTATGGAAACGATAGGACACTTACTCTTGGACTACGGATCCTTAGGATTTGGTAATACAAATTCAGTGTGTAGTATGGAAGTCTGGTGAGTAGCAGCGTGAGAGCAGTGTACGGGTATGTGATTGTGGTTTAATTACAGGCTAGGATTTTATCCTATCTCTATCTTTATTCCTTTTAATTGAATCGGAATATTACTTTCCACTGTATCAGCTTGTTGTATGTATGTGCACTTACGGAACAAGCAATACTTAGACTAGTTCGTGAAGGACGGTAGGGTGAATATAAGTGTCTCGTCTTAACCTAACTATACCGTTATGGCTATATCTAAACTATTCGACGA